AAAAAAAAAGAACAAAAAATGCAGTCTCTATCAATTTCTTCTTTTGACTAATAAAGTTTTAAGAAGAAACGGATATGAGCTGTTATTGTAGGATTTGATTTGGTTTAATTGACTTCCAACGACCATGTAATTGGATCATATATTAGTGCTAATGTGGTAATATTTAGTTGTAAATTAAAAAAAAAAAATCATTAATTTTATTCTCATACAATTGGTTCTAACTTGTAATTCGATTTTCTTTTTCTACATGCGCCATCGACAAAATTAATCTAAGCCAGCCTTGGGTAAAAAAAAAAAATTTGTTCTAATCCAATCAGCTTTAATTAATCAGATTCTTGATGAAATTACAAATTACTTATATTGTCCATCTTTATAAATTTGTCCGTTGAAGTACCTAAGACCAAGAAAAGACTTGTTTTTGTTTTCCTACTTTTCAAGAATATTGTCTGTAACAATTTAACACATAAAAGAAAATGTGACTTTTTATTTTTTGAACTAGGGGAATTGAGGGTAGGTGAGTGGGAAATGGAAATAAAGGAAATCAAACTCCGAAGATATGGGTAAAAATTAATACAATAACCATTTAAATCACACATCAAAAATCAAAAGAACATGTGATTTAAGCATTAAAAGTTTCGATATTCATATTATAGTGTCTGCTGTTGTAGAGATAAATTTACTTATGGAGCAGGTAATTTTGCGTTAGTCTTAAGATGCAGCCAATATGCGGAAATTAAGGTATCTGTTAATGAAAGAAATCAAAGCAATTGTCGGCAATTTAATTCATTTCCAGATTGTTCTTAAACTTAGGATGACAAAAGACACGACATTTCAACAACTTTTCCCTGTTTCATTGGATTTTTAATGGACAAATGTTGTAATTATCTTTCAACCTTCTGTAAATTTTCACATGCCATGTCACTACTAGAATTAGGGGCTTTTTCGGTCAAGGTGCTTGACCGAAAAAGTATGTTTTATGACCGAAAAAGTATGTTTTATGACCGAATACACGACACTTTGGTCAAGTTTACTAACCGAATTGTTGGCCCGAATAGTCTCTATAGGAAATAGTATTTCGGAGAAAATTTTATCTTAACCGAAATATGTCATTAATTCGGTTAATATGACTAACCGAAAAAGTGGTTGAAAAACTCATTAAATAAGTATTATATTCGGACAAATAATTTGACTGAACTAATCAATAATATTTTAATTAAATATTTCAGTCAAAGATCTTGACCGAAATAGATATGCAAATTTAAAAAAATTATTTAATGAATGATTTGTAGAGGGAAATTCAAAATGACGACAAAAAATTTTCAATGTATTTTGGTCAAGTAGATTGACCGAAATAGATGTTCAGATTTGAAAAAAAAAATAAATTATTTAATAAATTGTAATATACATAATAAATATTATAAAAATATTTAGTACTACAAAAATTCGATATTGATATTACGAAT